CACATACTGTATGTCTCAAGAAATAACAAAGACGTACAAAAGTATATATTAATGCAATACATTATAAAGAAAGTGAATGAATGGATGAATGAATGACTGAGGAGCTCACCTCTTACTGGAGTAATCAGTCTATTGATTAAGTCAGCTTTTCTCATGGAATTGACCATTTCTTATAGATTATCAATACTTGGGCCACTTAGGCCATTTAGGGGTGACTGGGCAGGAGGAGCACTGTTGCTACTAATGAGCAGGGAATTGAGTCACATTTAGAGGAAAGTACCTCTGTGTGTAAGTCTGTGTGCATTTCAAGTGCTGCATTCAATGTTTTTAGTAGATAAAAAGTGATCACGTATTGATTTGAGGTAATTATTGTCTTGTTCTGACATTAACAGTGAAATAAAAGTATATGTGTATGTCTTTGCGATTATCATGCTAGGGCAGATATGATAATTAATTAAATCTTAGACTCAAAATGACAGGGAGAATTACAGAGGTTAACACACACACCACCACCACCCCCCCCCACACACACACAAACGCACAGCTGAGTGGTGGGAAGGAAAGGGAAACCCGAGCTGGACCAGGAGTGGGATAACAGCAGTCCAGGAATAGTGGCAATCGATGGATGGATAGATGGGTAGATGGATGGATAGAGGGAGGGGGGTGTGGTGGTGAGGGGGGAGAGATGAGTGGTCTCCTGGGTGGAGTGGTGATAGTCTTGCTGAGTGTCTGTGAGACCAAATCCTTTCCAAACTGAGGGGAGAAAGGTAGGAGGAGAGGAAGAATAGAAAAGAAAGGGGAGGTAAAGAAACAGGAGGGGGGGAAAGAGGCGAGGAGAGGAGAGGCGAGGCGAGAAGAGGAAACTTAACAGTGCCATGGCAATGAAGAGAGGAACACATTGAAAAGAAGTGTAGAGGAAGCATGGGAGGAAATAAGAGGAAACACAATTGTTTGAAGCTGTGCTAGGAGTTGAAATAATACATATTTACAGTATTTCATCATTGCCCTCTAAATGAATCTAATTGGTCTAAAATATTATTAAAGATTTGGTTTAAATTATTGCATTACGATTACTTTTTAAAAAATTGTCCAATGATATTAAGTGTGTTAAACTTCTTAACAAGATAAGCTGTGGTGCATTACTTAGCAAATACTGCATATTTAATGAATAAGGACTAGTTTAAACCATCACCAGTCAGTATGAAATAAAATGTGATTTACCTTACACATCGTATTCTTGTTTTGCGGGAAATTAATCAGCAGCACTGTCGCTTACAGTAACACCTCTGCCAACTAGTAAACCTATTTATTGATAAACATAGTTTGAGCAGATATGTTAAAATTCAACTGCAATAAAGCCTCTCAAAACAATGTATGACAATTATAAAGTAAAGCACGCACACGTTCATAAATAGCACACACACACACACACACACACACACACACACACACACACACACACACACACACACACACACACACACACACACACACACACACACACACACACACACACACACACACACACACACACACACACACACACACACACACACACCTAAAATAGCTGTAAAAATAGGTATTGATGAGAAGCATAGTCAATGACCATCAGAGGAAAACAGAGACCACCATTAGCCAGCCAGTCAATCGCTATAGCATTCTGGGTAATTCTAGCACACACATACATCCAGACTCAGAGATACACACATCGACAGCAAGATGACACCTCTCAGGGGAAACTTAACCACACACACACACTAACACACAGAAATGAGTGCAGGAATGCATGTGTTAAGCTTTGCCATTGCTTATATTATTTGAGTCTGTCCCGTTCAGCTTTGTATTCCTTTTTTTCTCTTCATGCTTACCATATCTGATTTATTATACCTCTTGTTTTTTACCCTTTTTTCTATCTCGGGGGTAAAGTGGTGGTTGCTTGTTCCTAGGGGGTCTTAACCAACTCTCAATAGTGCAGTGCTGTAGTGTGTGTGTGTGTGTGTGTGTGTGTGTGTGTGTGTGTGTGTGTGTGTGTGTGTGTGTGTGTGTGTGTGTGTGTGTGTGTGTGTGTGTGTGTGTGTGTGTGTGTGTGTGCGTGCGTGTGTTCACGATTGGTGGGGGTGATTGTACATTAGTCATCCAGCTAATCAATGGGAAAAACCACTGAGCCTGGGCCCCTGCTTATGTTACCATCAGTTCTATTCATAGGGAAAACACATATCCACAGGCACCCCCTCCCCCCCAAACACATGAAGACACACACTGTTCATGCAGAGAGTTTGATTCAGGCCATTAAATCCAAACTCAACTTTAGGAAATAATTTGGAAAAACGATGACAGCAACATGTATAGAGAACGAGCTCAATGTCAGCTGGTACGCTAAACTCTCAGTTTGAACTGATTTGTACCATTCAACACAATGTGACAGACAAGTGGATAAAAGCATCTGTACAATTCAATGACCAGAAGCAAAACATGCACCAAAAGACAAGGAACACATGTATTACTGACTCAAATACAGTTCTCAAACACATCAGATGTGTATCATATTTTGGCAGACACCTGTGGACTGACAGAAGATTTTTGACCTGAGAACTTCACTCTTTTTTTTTGTACCAATTGTCTACAAACAGTGTCAGCCTTAGACTGCTAATTACATTGTTCATCTGAAGCTATGCTCTTATACTGTCAGGCTGCACGGAGCGCTTTCAGATGTTGACAAAACAGGCACTCTGCTGGCCGAAAGGTTTAAGAATTACACCATGTAGTCGCAATTTGCATGTCAACCCCTTTTCTCTATTTCACTTCTCCGTTACTGAACTGTCAAACAAAGCAAAAATGTTAAATGTTATTAATAAAACATTTTAATAAATGAAAAACAAAAAATGTTTTGCCATTGTAATTTGAAAATAGGGCTATATCTAAATCCAATTAATTATTACAATGTAACTTTTTCTCTTCGACTCCCTTTACTGTCTCACCCTCCCCTCTCTCCCCCTTATCTGTCTTTCCTAGTGGGAGTGAGACAGATTAACGTCAGCGTTGGTTTTACTTATCATACTGTAGCCAGCACAACCCTGCAAGGGATAGAGTGGGAGCAAACGGCATCACCACTCAACACAGGGCACACACACACACACACACACACACACACACACACACACACACACACACACACACACACACACACACACACACACACACACACACACACACACACACACACACACACACACACACACACACACACACACACACACACACACACACACACACACACACACACACACACACACACACACACACACACACACACACACACACACACACACCAATACTGTACATAGGCACATGAAGTTGTACATTACTGATGTTCTGCGTGTTTAAATGGTGGTTGTTGATACTGAGAGGTTCTTGAGGTCCCTGAATATTCAAAAGGATCATTTGTTTATGTTTTTCTATGTTATATGTTCTGCTTTAGCCACGGTAATAAGCAATTCTAATAAAAGGAATTGAAAGTCTCAAGAAGTTCTGTGGGCGGCTCAATTGAAGAGCTTACTTGCCTCATAAGCAAAAGGTTTTATTGTAATCCAAGTTAAGAGAACATTTCTGATACTTCAAAATAGTTCCAAAATCAACGGCAGATCTTAATCTGTTGTGTTGCATTAATTTTGCGCTGGCTAAATATTGTTTTGGTTATTTGCGGTCAGCTCGGAGCCAGCTCCATATTCGGGAAAGAAGCCAATGGATTTTGTGCATACTTTAAAAATGTTGTATGTATATTTCTATGTTCATATATATTCAAGTCTTTTTATGCATGTTTGCATGAGTGAATAAATGATGTGCAGTCGATGGGTTGGCAAACAAACCCCCTGTGTACGGGTGTATGCAAAGTTATGTGCACCTATCTTTGTGTGTTACTCAGAGGTCCCCCCGCCCTCTGAAACACAAACACAAACATTCACACACACAAACAGTTAGAGCTTAATGAAGCAGAACTCAGCCTGGTGCCCATTAGCCTGATAATTAATAATTTCTCCCTGCCTCCTAACACACTTATCAACTTGCAGAGGAGGTTGTGTGTGCATGTGTGTGAGCGCATGTAGGGCATGTGTGTCTGGTTGTGCCTGCCAGGGCTTATGCACGTTGGCAGATAAGAGATGTGGTCGGTAATGACATACATGTATGTGCTCATGTTTGCATAGATGATAGTTTGTATGTCACCACCGTTATTTGAAAACATCAAACGCCAATTAAAAAAATCACACTGCTGGTTGTTTTTACTTAGACTTAGATGTTGTTTGTGGTGCTGTTGTCCACCACATTTATATCAACGTGTGTAGGCTACATACCAGTAACAACTCTCTGTATAATGCAATAGAACACAACCCAACTAACACCACTTTCCAAAATACCCATGCAGTTGAATCAACAAATGTTTTAAAACAATTACAAATACAACTTATATTAAAACGTCATGCATATTCAGGACTGTTTTATTAGATAGATCTTTGATCAGCTCCAATAACCTGATCAGGCTGAATCAGTTTTATTTTCTCAAAATGTCTTTCTGAAGTGAAATGGATTAGAGTTTGCACCAACATAAGAAATTCAGCTTTTTAATTGAGCGCCTGTCCAAACCTGCTGCAATGGTTCAGCCTCAGGTCAGTTTGAAGAGGAGGCGTGTGGCGCAGTGGATAGAGCCTTGGTATGGGGATCAGATGGTCACAGGTTCAAACCCCACTGCAGTCAGCATGTCGTTGTGTCCCTGGGCGAGACACTTCACCCCAAATTGCTCCTGTGGGGATTGCCCACAGTATTGAGTATGTAAGTCGCTTTGGATAAAAGCGTCTAACAAGTGACATGTAATGAAGAGAAGCTATGCAGATTCATGAAGGGGTTTGTTTTTGGGGCCCATTATGATCTAGTATTGGACATCACTGAGTGTATATGAGCAGTTCAAACTTTCAGAAAGGAAGAGTCAAGATTTAAATATAATGTACCTTGATGTTATGGGAAGGGATCCATTCGGTGTCCTCTTCTTCCTTCTTCTCTGTGTCACCTGTTCCAACTGCTGTGATCTAGATATTGTTGGAAACGGAGAAAGAGAGGAAGAGACAGAGAGGGAGAAAGCAAAAGGAAAAAGGAGTGAACAAAGTTCAACAGCAGCTCTACAGTTTGCTGAGAGAAAGTCTTACTCCTCTGTCTCATTCAGCCAACTTCATTCTTTCCTTCTGTCTTTTATTTATTTTTTCATTTTGTTCATGTTCTCCCTTATCCCCTTTGCTGCACTAACACTTCCTCTATCCCCTCCTTCACCTCCCTTCTCTCTATCTCTGTGAATAGAACATCAAAAGCCTGTGAGTTAGATGGGGAGTGACAGTGTTTGCTATTGGTATGCAGGCAGACATGTCTGCTCCAAAGTGTTAGTCTAAAGGCCTCGGCTAAGTGTTTGTCAAGACTTAAAGCCATTGTTCTCGTCTCCTCTCCTCTCAGATCTCAGACTGCTCTCTTTCTCTTTCTCTCTCTCTATCTCCCTCTCGCTCCACTTTTGTACTTTGATGGAGCATTTTACTGCTGTGAGTGTATGTGAGTATGTGGGGAAACCGTTTTGAGGCAATGTGTGTGTGAGAGGTTGGGCATTGAGAATGTGTTCACTTTAGTAGTTATGTTTCTTTGTGCCGGCATTTTAATATTAAGCAAAATCCATCCACTTGTTGCAATTGGGGAATATTGGCTCCCACAAAATAACAGTATTTCTATGTCAAAGTGATGTTATTGTGTTACACAAAGCTTCACAGATTATCAAGATTATTTTCTGTGGTTGACTGAATAAAAATGGCTCAGTGTATTTGGTTTTGTGAACATGTTATCTACCAAACAGTGTAAAAAATGTGTCACAATTATTAAATGTGTCTTGCTGTCGTCAACATTAATTATTATGACAATACAATCATCAAAGCAAAATTGTTCCTATTGACACACACCCATATTACCCCAGACTCTACATTTGAACACATCATGCACAACTCTCCAGTATTGTGTGAGTTCTGAGCTACAACATAGAGGAAAGTGTAGAACAAAATGCAATCCAGAGTTTCAACAGCTTGTTTTAAATTGTGAAGTGGTCCGACAAAGGTTAATGTAAAGCATTTATGGTATGTAGAGTCCTAAACCACTAAATTCACATTTCACTGTGAAAAATAAGTTAAAAACTTTTTGTTTTGTTTTACTTAGACAAAATATTTTGTTTACAATGGGGCTCCCATAATGCCCTTTTCCTTCCAGTTAAAAGGGTGTTCTAGAGTTTGGAAAAATGTATATTAATCGATCATCTGATGTGAATGAATAATTAATGGTTTTAATGGTCTGTTAATCCGGCAATTTGGAAAGCTGTACTTACAGTTCTTGTGTAATATCAAGCACACCAGCATTGTGTTTGTCCATATATAAAACCAGCTGTTTGCTTGGTCCTTTTTATAATTAGCTAAATCAAGCAGTCGGTTGATTCATATACATAGTAGATGTTCAATATAATATAACAACTGTAATGCAATTGATCTAAGTAAATATTGAAGGTGTTGCTCCCTTTCGTTTTCAGTCTCCTGTTTTCCACCTTTCTCTCCCCATCCCTCGACATCCTGCCGTCTCTCTTGACTCTCACCCTCTTCTTTGTTTTGAACTCTCCCATCTTCCCTTGCATGCTTCCCTCTGTCTCTCACTGTTAAACTGGAAGCATTTGTCAGTGTGCATGTGTATGAACACAACATTCCTGCCAGGGTTACACTCAAGGCCTGGAAAAGAGAAAGCAGCTCTTTCTTTGAAGTCCGACCCAACGTTCTATAGGGTGGAACTGTTAATCACTGATAACCCTGCAGCATCTCATCTCTCCCTCTCTCTCCCTGTGCCCCCTCCATTGTCACCCTCATCTCTCTCTCTGTTTCTTCACCTCATACCTCTCTCCCTTTCTTATTGTCTTACTGCTATTTCTCCCCCTCTGTCCCCATTGAGTCAGTATTCACAAGAGAATTACCATCTTATAGTGGTGTTTGGCTGATCACCACTTTTGTGTGTGTGTGTGTGTGTGTGTGTGTGTGTGTGTGTGTGTGTGTGTGTGTGTGTGTGTGTGTGTGTGTGTGTGTGTATGTGTGTGTGTGTGTGTGTGTGTGTGTGTGTGTGTTGTGCTGGTAGGTACTGTCAGTGGTGTGGTAGTGAGCCTACTGGTGCCAGTAAAGCAGATTATGAGTTGATTTTGGCGAAGGAGGCTGGTAATTCCTTTAAACCAACAAAGCCGTTCCATTAGCCCCCCCGCTGGTATCCTGAAAACACACACTGTAACACTCCCAAAGCACAAGAGAAAGCATGGCTAAACCGTACACTCGTACACAGTAGCATCCCAAACAATGTCAATATGCAAGTAAGCACACTTGCTTAACTAACTTGAAACCTATACTCTAAGCACACAGAGAAAACATGAAAACACAGACCCAGGTGCATTACATAAACACATACTTGGAAACCACATTCGTTCAGGTCATTACAGAGACACACTCACTATATATCTGAATGCTTCAACCAACAACCAGCTTATTACAATTACTGTGTATAATGTTAATAAATGGATCAAAAGCTTATACGCACACACCATCCTCCATGACTCAATTGCTTAAAGGGGACCTATCATGCAAATGCACTTTTTGATGTATTTTATACATAAATATGTGTCCCCGGTGTGTCAGAAAATAAAGCCCTGTCTCTTTTCCTCCGTGCGCAAATCTCTAAAAATGGGGGTACAACGGAGCTGATCAAGATTTGCCATCCTATCAGAAACGTCGCTATCAGAATCAAGGCCCGACGTGTTTTGGACGTAATATGGTCTTTGTTTACATTAGCAAGCATCGCTAACAGTCAGAGCTAAGCTGTACTGGAGAGAGCATGTGTAAGAAGCAGGATATAAAAAGGAACTCATCTTGTGGTAAACCCGCAAGAGAAAAAGCATTTGAGCTCCATACTGTTTCAAAAATAATCCTTGACGTGGTTTTGAACATGATATGGCGTTTCATCAATGCAGCATTTAGACAGTATCTGCTGGGTCCGCATGAGCAGGCATAAGCTCCGCCCCCTCTTTTTTATTTTTTGTTCAATTTGTTCAATTTTTTGTAAAGCTTTAGAACCCGAAACAGCACTTTAGTAACAGGGCTGAAACGGAGGGATATGAGGCATGGCTATAATGGGTGATCTGTTTGGTATTTTGAGCAAAACACTTCATACACAGGTTTTTTATATATTTTTATATATCTGAGACCTATGCTATTGCCTAAAAATAGCATGATAGGCGACCTGTTTTACATCTAAAATCTGGAAATCATAAAATTATTCTGACTGTGGAATCAGAAGAAACCGCATCATCACATGGTTTTGTGTATATTCCTCTATAGTTTGAGTATCCTTTGGCTAAATGTAGGTAGCTGAAATCCCCGTCACCTGGAAAAAGTCAGAGCGGGTTCAGTTTTTTGGGTTGAAATAAAACTCATTTTAACGTTTCCTATCGACTTAACTGTGAGTAACATATGGCTTGTTCTATCTTTAGAGATTAACATTTAGGTTTATTTTGACCCAGTGATACATATGGAGAGAAGCGGAAACAATGTGAAACAGACAGGACAGCAGAATAACTGACAGACGGACAGACAGCGTGGCAGTCAGGGTAGGAATTTCACGGCGGCCATGCGAATATTCGCATTGCTCTAATCGCTGGAGTTTCACGGCGGCTGTCAGCTGTGTTTACTACTGTCATTCAAACAGGACGCGCTGGAGAGGGGGAGGGGCTTATATCCATGTAAATACTGTGGTAGAAACCAACTACAACCAAATTAACACATTTTACCGTGATTTAATTGTAATACACGTTTCAAAATGATGCCGAAGTAACAAAATACTGATAACGGTTAGTAAAAACCATGAATTAATGCTTTGACAAGTGTGCAGACAAAACGGCAGGCGAAAAACCTTTTAAAATGTGTGTTTTCAGAATGGAGATCGGATCGATCAGGATAAACTAACCTGTAGCTGCTCTGTCCAAACTCACAACAACGTCCTAAAGACAGAAATAAAGCAGCGACTGTATTCGCCATGACACAGACAGTCTGTGGTTTGTACTTGTTTAACTTTTATCCAGTTTCTGAACAGATATGAGGAGCTGTGAGCTCTGTGTGCTAACAGCTAACGGCTGATGTTTTGGTTTTCTGATTCAACGTCAGTGGCTGAGATCTTCACTGCTGATTGGCTACCGCGAGAACGCGTCACGCGAATTTGGCGCTCGAGTTGAACAAATTGATTAAAGAGACTCTCGTACACTCGTACACACACACACACACTTTTGCATTTCAAAGTATTGCTTGTTCATACAGTTGAATGTTAGAGCTTCACTGTGCACTGCTGAATGATGTATGTGCAGAGTTTGACCCTTGAAGGCTGTTTCTTCTGCTCTGAAATTGAATATATTTGTTACATATTAATAGAATGTTAGATTTGTTGATTTGATTTCGGATTTGTGAATGGGAGAAGTAGTAGATGGAAAATGTGAATCCAAGGCCTTCCACACTCCCAAGGCCAGCCAGGCCTCTCCACCCTGGAACAACTGTTTCCCACTGCCGCCATAACCAACCTCCACTCCCAGCTCCCCTTTTCTGATAAACAAATGTTACTTTCACCAGCTGATTCCGAGTCTGACTCTGGGTCCCCTCCAGTACATGTGACACCGACAGTGACTCGTACTAGCAGCTGGTCGCATTTAAAAAAAAAAAGAAAGACTTCTGATAAATCGGAACGATAAAGCACGTTATCCTACTCTAAAATAATAACATTCTGGCAACATAAACAAATCTAACTTGCAGCTGAAAACGTTTTAAGAATAGTAGGGCATAATGTTCTAACAATGTTATCAAAAATATTTAAAAAAGGTTATTACCAAGCATTTTAAGAATGTTTTTAGAGAAAGTTATCCTACATTTCAGAAGAACATTCTGGGAACAACAAAAACACTTGCAGCTGAAAACGTTTTAAGAATAGTAGGGCATAC